CTGAACATCCCAGCAGTAAAAGTACAGGACTTCAAGGATGACAAAGGAAGGGCATGGCACCCGACTTACAGTGAAGAATCGAGTTTCTAACGATGACAAAAGTCAAACTGGCATCTGGTATGGTGGACCACATAATTCGAGAGGCTCAAGAATTTGAGGACAGTCTGGGAAAACACCCGCGAGATGGCTCAGTGGGTGTCAAACCTGGCAATCCCCTGGACCCTATGATATCAACTCCTTTCGGGCACATTAGCCTCTGACTTCCACATGTGTGTCATGAGTGCAAGCCCTCTGCTGACCCCCCACACACACACTAAAAATATTTTTTTTAATAGGTTAACTTCACCTAGGTGTGGTAGCATATGCCTGTAATCACTACTTAGGGGGTAGAGGTGAGAGAATCAATCAGACATTGAAGTCATTCTCTGCTGTGTAGTAAGCTCCAGGCCAGCCTGGGCTACATGGGTTCCGGGCCAGCCTGGGCTACATGGGCAGTGGGGAGGTAGTAGTAGGACAATATCTCCAAAGTCGTCCGAGGAAGAACTTAGGGTCTAAAGTCCAGGACCTCTGCAGCATGAAGGCCAGCGCACCAGAGCACAGAGCAACCATTGGCTGGTGCCTTGAAAGCTCTCAGACATTAGGGCCAATTCAAGACCAACCTTTGGCGCATGATAAATATTTGAATTTACATTAACACAGATAGTATGAAAACAAACTTTGGCTTAGTTATTATAGATTGCAACTTAACTAGACAAGGTATTTTTTTTTCCTGACTATTCACAAAAACAAAACAGAAATGGGCAGAAGATGAAGCCCCTGACTAGCCTCAGGCCACACTCAGACCAGACAAGAGTCTGTGCTTCACAGTCCAGAGTCCCAGCACTCACTCTGAGTCTGCTGCTTTTGGTGAGCACCCAGGTGTGTGTGTGTGTGTGTGTGTGTGTGTGTGTGTGTGTGTGTGTTTATGGTATATACATGTATATGTATGTGCAATATGTGGCACATATGTGTATGGTGCATATGTATGTATTGTGTGTGTACACATGTGTAGTGTGTGTGTGTGTGTGTGTGTGTGTGTGTGTGTGTGTGGTGTATGTACACTGTGCACACAGATGTGTGTGCCATGCACATGCCAGGAGGATAGCAGGTGTCCTGTTACACTGCTTTCCACTTTATTTTCTTGGAAAAAGATCTCACACTGAAACTGGAAATAGGTTGGTGGCCAGCAAGCCCCAGGAATCCTCTTGCCTCTAGCCCTACAGCACTGGGGTTATAGGCACATGTGTAGCCATGACCAGCTTTTTATGTGGGTACAAGGGATTCGAACTCAGGTCCTCATGCTCATACAGCAACTGCTCTTACCAACTGAGCCATCTTCCCAAGGCCTAGGTTTTCAGTCAGTGAGATGTCTGCAAAGAAGGGCTGGAAGATCACTGAGTAGTTAGGAGCATGAGCTGCACTTGCAGGACCTGCACTTAATTCCTAGCACACACATGAGACAGCTCCGGGGGAGATCCTATGCCTCTACCACCACGGGTTCCTGCATACACGTACACATACCTACACACATAGGCACGCGGGCATGCATACACGCTTCTATAACTGTATTTCTATGTCAGCAAAGATTACAAGAGAAGGCTCTGGTTTCATAACACAGTGATGTAAAAGCTTCTCACAGGCCCTGCTTTCCTCCCGGGAGACTGAGACAGTGACTCAACAGTGCTCCCAAACGGTGCAGAGGAATCGTTCCTGTCCTGTGGAGGGACGCACTCGCGTTACGCCCAGGTGTGCTTAGGGAAGCACACTGAGACATATGCTACCCTGTGCCACCCTCTACCTCAGCTTACACTGTAACTTACACGTGGGATGGGATATGTGCCCGTAGCAAAGTCAACAATTCCCAGTCCGGCTTAGTTTACCTAGAGGCCCAGTCCTCTAAGTCACATACCATAAAACAAACCACAACAATAACTCGGTACTCAAACAGTCCCTTCCGTGTTTGACCTTTAAACTTTAAAACTAAAAAAACATATACCTAAGAGATAAGCTGTCCTACAGGATTTATGAATGTCACATTGTCCCTCTGTTACTTATTAACCTCGTGCCAGGCACAGGAGCCAAACGCCTTCCCATCCTGAGCTCAGGGAAAGGGTTCCAGAGGATGAACTGCATCCCCAGCAGAGGTTGGTCCCTGTGTCACTCACGGCTGGATCAGGTCTTCCCTGTGTTCCACCCCCATAAGTTACTAACCAAAACAATAGCTGATGTGCAAGAAGCTAATTAAATTCCTAAGGACAACTCTCTCTTTTACCATCCCAAATGACCCTGTGAGATGAGATAACTGTGCAATGCAGCGTGTGGCATGATGAGAATGTTCGAGAACAAAACTATTGTTGCAGATGAGGAAACTGAAGCTTAAAGGGGTAAAGCAGCTAACCAAGTGAATCCAGGAGCCGGACTGGGGATAAAGCCCAACCAGTAGCTTGGAAGCCTAGCAGGTATGCACAAGGCTCTGGATCGGATCCTCAATGCAGAGATCAAACCAAAACAAATCCAGTCAAATCCAGAGCCTGTCTCCTGTTTGTGGCCACCATTCTGTTTGCTTCCCCCACACAGAAAAATACCAAGAGGGTTACCTAAGGAAACACAGCACAGTAAGGAACAGAATCTCAGAGTCACAGCCCCAATTACAAGGTATCCAATAACAGCTTTGAGAAAGTAACTTCTACCTAATATAAAAGCCACAAATTGTATTTTGGGCAGTGAAGAAAAGGGGCAAGGGAAAGACGAGGAGAAAAACAAGGAAAAAAGTGGGGTGTGGCTGAAGAGATGACTCTTCAATGGATAAGAGCACTGGCTGCTCTCCCAGAGGACCGGGGTTCAATTCCCGGCACCCAAACAGCAGCTCACAACTGTAACTCTAGTTCCAGAGACTGACACCCTCACACAGACATACACGCAGGCAAACCACCAGTGCACATTAATTAATTAATTAATTAAAAAGAAAAAAGAGTCCACATCACATATAAGGCAAGGCATAGATCTGTATGTAGGCCTTAGTACTGATCATAGCTCAGTCCTTGGAGCCAAATTGCCTTCCAAAAACAGGAATCACTCGCTCCATAGGGTCAGATGACCGTAGAACTACAACTCAATACACCAAAGACTGCGCTGTCTGCATCACATTCTCCGAAGTGATCTGTCAGGATATTCTTGAATTATTTTTTTTTTAAGATTTATTTATTTATTGTGTACACAGTGTTCAGCCTCCATGTATGCCTGCAGGCCAGAAGAGGGCACAGGATCTCATTACAGATGGTTGTGAGCCACCATGTGGGTTGCTGGGAATTGAACTCAGGACCTCTGGAAGAGCAGCCAATGCTCTTAACCTCTGAGCCATCTCTCCAGCCCCCCTGAATTATTTTTTTAACATTATTTTGAATAGTATACAAAATGCTGAGTTTCACTACACTTTTACACATGTAGAGTACTGTGCTTTGCTCATATTCGGCTCATTATTCCCTCTCGTTCCCCCTCCACTTGAATACTAATAACATTTCTTTTCTGGGATGGAGACTGAACTTGGGTCTGTGTGTGCTAAGCAAGCACTCTACCCCTGAGCTAATCCCCTTCCTGTAGTTTTATTCTCGGAGAATTACAATCATCTGTGCTGAAATAAAACAAGGGCTCCAAAACAAACAAAAGAAGCTAAAAATGCCTGGCATTTAATTATGTCTTTGAGAAGATAGCATTCAAACAGGAGGGTACTTTCTTCAGGGTAAATGAATCCTGCAGGGAAAACGTCTCTTTTAATTTCAGTATTACGTATGCATTCCAAGATAGATCTTATCAATGTTCTTTCCAGTGTTCCAAGCTGCCCATGAAGAGAGACAAGATCTAAAGACATGAAGTCTCAGGTCAGCTAAGACACAGGACTGGTTTCAAGGTAACAGAGTAGAAACTCTTTGAGAACAAGGGCCCTGATTCCCACCAAAAAGCCTCAAGCTGGGCATCAGAGATACCCTTTTTAACATGCTAGGGAAAGCAATTGCTTCTCCTCTTAAGAGATCAGCCAAACAAACAAACAAAAAAGCCTTACGACTTCGTGTTTAAATTTTTAAGTAGAACAACAATTTTTTCGATAGCTCTAAATGTCTAAAATTTGCTAACGACAGGATAGATGCGCCTTGGATCAAACAGCACATTTCAAACAGCATAACCCCCTGCTGTGTGACCCCCGTGCGATTCAATTAGCCATTTTCCTAATCTCTTCGCCTTCCTCTTCCACCCAGGAGGAAGGGGAACACCTGCCTCGGCTGGCTCGCTGGTGCAAGGCGGCTGTCAGCAAGCGGAGACGCTGTTCCGCCCAGGCCACTCACTTACAGTCCTGCAGCCCCCGGCTCCCCCTCTGGTCCAGCCCCAGATCGCAGCAGCGAGTCCCGGCGCTAAGGGAAGGATGCTCCGGTGGCCGGCCCTCCCTGGGAGACGGCGGCGACAGGCTCTCTGACCTGACAGTCACCGTCGCGCCCCTCCGCCCCCGACCCGGCCCCGCGCGCCTCCAGCAGTCTCTGTCCCGGGAGTCCCGCGAGTCCCCAAGTGTCCCCGAGCGCCCCCGACCCACACCCCGGCGCCCCTTCCCGTCCCCCGAGCGCTTTAGCCCTCCCGGCTAACAGCCAGGCCCCGCCGAGCCTCGCCCGCCCCTCTCCCCAGGCCAGGCCTCCCAAGCGTGGTCGCCGGGCTGCAGACTCCTTACCCGGGAGCTTGAGCGCTCTGGACAGCACTGTCGCCATGGCGGAGGCCCCCCGTGCGCGTGCGCGCGCCGCGTCCTGCCGGGAAGTGTAGTTCGCTGCTGGCCGCGAGTGGGGCCGCGGGCGAGAAAGGTGTGACCTGCAGCGAGCACGGCTGGGAGGAGGCACCCGCTACCGCCTGTCACCGGCTCGGCCGCGCCGCGCCAGGCAGAGTCGCTCTTCCTCAGCAGGCGGTCCGACCGGTGTGCGGAGAGCCTGAAACGAGAAAGCCGGTAGTTAGGGAGGCGCGGGCTGGGAAGTTCAGTTCGCGTGGGTTTGGAATTGACAAACTGGATTTGAAGCCTACTTGTGCTATTTACTGCCAGGGCCATCTTGGCAAGTCACTGAGCTTTGGCTTTGTCTGTCCCTGTTGTTGAGACGAGGGTCTTAACGGGAACTGACTTTGTAGGTGAGGATGACCTTGAACTTCTGTTCTCCCCACCCCCACCCTCCACCTCCAAACCTCTGTATTACAGGCACGGGACACCACACCAGGTTTCATTTTATTTATCTATTTATTTAATTTATTTATCTATGGCCAGGTGTGGTTGCACATGCTTTTCCTGGTGGTACACGCTTTTAAAATTCCCAGCACTTGGAAGGCAGAGGCAACCTGGTCTTCAGAGTGATTTCCGGGACAGACAGAAACTCTGTCTCAAAAAAAAAAAAAAAAAGTATTTACTAATTTTTAAAATTACATATATTTGAGATCATTGTAGTACAGACTGGAATCAAATTGACTACGCAGTTGAAACTGGCCTGGAACCCCTAATCCTCCGGCCTTCACTTCGTGCGCCCTGGAATTACAGACATGCAATACCACACCTGACAGGCTCTCTTAAAAGGAAAATGTTGCTATCTCCTTCTTGCTGAGAGAATTAAATGATACATACTATCCTTTTAAAGCACACAGTGGCTCTTTTCCCCGTCTTAAGTGTGGACTTAAGTGCGCTGAGGCTCTGATGTGGGTTTCTTGGTCTCAGGTATCCATAGGAGCCAACTGGTTTCTCACCCACGGGCACCAAGAGATCGGCGTTTTAGTGCATGAATGCCGAAAATGTTACAACAGCTTGAAATTGGAGCTTCTTGTTTATCTAGGCAGGTCTCCATTACCGTCTGCTGAATGCCGATAGCTCCTGTTCTGAGAGTCAAAGTAAATGTGCAAAGCCCTGAGCACCGGAAACCAGTGTTTCATCGGTGTTATAGTGTCCTTTTGATTGGTGTCTTATTGTTTGAGACCAGGTCGCACTATGTAGGCCAAGCTGGCCTGGAAATCAAAGATCTGCCTGCCTCTGCCTCCCAAGTTCTGTGATTAAAGATGTATACTGGCTTGTTATTAAAAGCTTAACTTTTTAACTTACCGAGTAATAAATTAGTAATTTGGGGGCTAAAGAGATGGTTCGGTAGTTAAGAGCACTGACTACTCTTCCAAAAGCCCCCTGGTCAATTCCCAGCACCCACATGGCAACTCACAACCATCTGTAACTCCACCAGTGCCCTCTCTGGCCTCCTCGGACATCAGGCACATACATGGTGCACAGATATACATGGAGGTAAAACACCCGTACACATAAAAATAAATAAAAATGTTATTAAAAGGAGTCACCACACCTCACAATAATGATAATAGTTTTAATGGCTTAATGAATTATGTGTTAATTCTTTTTTAACGTTTATTTTTGTGTATATATGTGTGTGATGAGTACATGCATATTTTGGAGGATCGGGTCTTTCCTTCCACTGTGTCGGTGTCAGAAACTGAACTCAGATCAAGCAATTTTACCCACTAAGCCATCTCACCGGCCCCTTATGTGTTAATTCTTTCAGTGATCTCTAATAATTGAAATATTTACAGTTTGCCAACGTCTCTGGATATGACGAAAAGCCTTATTTTATGTCAATGTAGGTCATCCAAGAAAAGAAGCACTACAAGTCACAACAACCCAGTAGCTGCTTGCCTGATGTCAGAGCTGCTCCTCAGAACACAGTCAGAGAAGTGACTACTGGTGTTGGCGACCCCGACAGGCTGAGGTGGCCCAGAACAGGAAGTCGACACAGTAGGGAAGAGAAGAAGCAGACTCCAGGAGCGCCCCTGCTTCTGGAATTGAAATGAGTTGAAGTTGTGCATATCACAGTTTGAAAGCTCTCCAGCCAGGCTAGGTGACACAGGCCTGCAAAGTCAGCACTCAGGAAGCTGAGGCCTTGGAGCTCCAGTTCAGTGCCAGACTGGGTTATCTGAGGAGACACTATCTCAGCAGGCAGTGGTGGAGCATGCCTTTAATCCCAGCACTCAGAAGGTAGGAGGATCTCTGAGTTTCGGGGCCAACCTGGTCTACAGAGTGAGTTCCAGAACAGCCAGGGCTATGCAGAGAAACCTGTCTCACAAAACCGAGAAGGGGAAGTGGTTGGGAGAGGCTGTCTCAGTAAAAAACACACAAGGATGTAGCAGTGGTTCTTAACCTGTGGGTCAAAAGTCAAAACCCCATTGGGGGTTGCATATCAGATACCCTGTAAATCAGATGTTTACACTACAATTCATTACAGTCATGAAGTGACAGGGAAATAGCTTTATGGGTGGGGGACTGTATTAAAGGGTCGCAGCATTAGGAAGGCTAAGACCCGCTGATCTAGGGAGATGGTTCAGTGTGAAGGGCTTGTTGGGCAAGCATGACAACCTGAGTTCAGATCGTCTGCACTGTCTGTGCTGCATAAAAAGCCAGGCATGGTTGTGTGTTCCTGTAGCCCCAGTATTGGTTGGGGGCCAGGAGGATCCCGGTGCTCTCCGGCCAGCCAGACTAGCAGAAGCAGTGAATTCCAGATTCAGTGAGTGCGCTGCTTAGGTTTTGTGTCATTGTTGTCGTTGTGGTCATCTTGTTGTTTGACAACTTGACAGAAGCTCAAGTCTTCTGGGAAGAGGAAAGCCCAGTTGAGAAAGTACCTCCATCTCCATCAGATTGATCTCTGGGCAAGCCTGCGAGGCATTTTCTTGATTTATGATTGCTGTGCGTGTGAGGGCCCAGCCCGCTGGAGACAGTGCCACCCCTGGATAGGTGGTCCTGACTTGTGTGAGAAAGCAGACTGAGCAAGTCACGGAGAGCAAGCCTGTAAGCAGCATTCCCCACTGGCCTCTCCTTCAGTTCCTGCCTGCAGGTTCCTCCCTGCTTGAGTTCCTGTCTTGACTTCCCCCAGTGATTGTCTGTAACCTGGTGGTTGTAAGATGAAGTAAACACTTTCTTCCACAGTTTGGTTTGTTCACAGCATCTCATCACACAATAAGAAGCAAACTAAGAAAAAAAAAGTAAGATACATGAAGATACCCCAGAAAAACCTCTGGACTCATTCTACATACACAGTCACACGCATGCATGTATGCACATGGATAAACCACACACAAAAACATAAACTGTAAGGCTGCTCCAAGTGCCGCATGTACTCAGCAACCCAGCTTTGGCCAAGAGCTTTGCAGAGGGAAGCAGATGCTGAGAGCCTCCGACCTCTCTGCCCCCCCCCCCACAGCTTTCATCCATTTTGTTTGTCTTGTCCCCTTCCGACGGCTCCTTGTCACGTTTTCCCCCATCTGAACATAAGAGTTGCAGCTCAGAAGCAGAGCTCTCAAACTTAGCCTGCCTTTTTTTTTTCAGTTTATTTCATTTGTTCTTTTGAGGACCTTTGAGGGGCAGAGTCTCGCTCTCATCCAGGCTGGTCTGGAATTCACTGAGTTTGAGGAACGTAGGTCGACCCTCCTGCCTCTGCCTACTGATTTTCTCTCAATTTAAAGAAAAAACTCTAAGCAGTCACCAGAGGTATCAGGTTACTTATCCTGTTGTGAGAGTTTCTCTCTAGTTAGCAGGTGGACTGAATATCTCGGATGCCAAAACGCCCACTGAGGTTACTGCAGAAGGTGCAGATTCCCCAGGCCTCCCTGGCTTCCAAACTTGGCTCGCCTCCAAGGAAAGTCAAGGAAAGGTGACTGGAGAGGGGTGACCTGGAACAGCCTGTCACACCTGAGACTGTGCCTTCTCTGAAGAGAAAGTGTTCTAGAGATCAAAACAGAAGCCACATTGATCCCGTGTGGGGGTCCCGATCATTTACAGAAGGGACCCCTCTTTGTCACTTCTTGTCTTTGTGCTTTCAATCTCTCTGGAGTGTCCTGCACTTAATCAAAGGAAGCACAAATCATGTTCTCTAATACTTCTTATTCTCTGGCCACTGTAGACATTTCTGTAGGCCCTGACCTGCCTACTAGGTTTCCTGACTTCCTCTTAGATGCAGGACAACTGAGTCCACCAGCAGTTGCCACCCATCGCTCTTGGGAGCTGGGACTGCGAGGATCTCTATCACAAGGCTTCCGGTATCTCCCACAGATCAATACCACACCGCAGGAGTGCTGTGAAAACATACAAGTCCTGAGGTGCAGTGTAAACTGGAGAAGACTGGCCGCTCCCCACTAGGTGAGTTACAATTATTAGGAAATTGCGTGCACTATCCTGCCCGTTCTTCAAGGTCAAATGGAGTCTTTTCATTAGCACTTTTCAATTTTAATGGGTGAGTCAACCAAGGGAAAGTGATTGCCGTAACAAACAACCTCACTATTTCAGCGATTTTAGAGAATACAAACTCATTGCTAGTTAAGTCACAAAGTAGGGGACAGGGCAGACAACACTGGGGCTCTATTCTTCCATGTCATTCAGGGGCCTGGACTCCTTCTGTCCAGTGTTTCTACATCTTAGGGCCTTGCAGCCCTCCTCTGGGTCATTGCATCCCAGCTCCTGCTGTTCTGGAAGAAAAGAAAATGCATTTAGGAAACATACACTCGGTTTCTGTTATGCCAAAAACGTCTCTTATTTGCAGAATACAGGCCCAAGAGAATGTGGCAGCACCCACCCATCTATGATCCCAGCTCCAAAGAGAGAGGCTAAATCAAGAGTATCGTGAGTACAAGGCCAGCCTGGGCTAGACAGTAAATTCCTGGCCTTGTGAGCACAGTGTAGTAGTTAGACTTGTCTCAGACAAACAAATAAAAAGAAACTTGAGCCTGTGGTGAAGGAAAAAAAATCCAGGCTTTGTTCTGCTAGAGCCTCACTAATGCCTTGTCTCTAAGCTGAGTTTGTCCTCCTCCTTGCTTAAGAGCTTGCCACTGTGTTTAAAATAAAGCTGTCCCTAGGGGCTGTAGAGGTGGCTCAGTGGTTAAGAGCACTGGCTGCTCTTCCAGAAGAACCCAGGTACAATTCCCAGCATGCACATGGCAGCTCAGACTGTAACTCCAGTTTCAGGGGACCTGACACCCTCACACAGACAGATATGAGGACAAGACACCAATGCACATAAAATAAAATAAAAAAATAAATGTTTCTGGGGGCTGTTGGTGCATGCCTTTAATCCCAGTGCTCGGGAGACAGAGGCAGGTGGATCTTTGGGAGTTCGAAGTCAGCCTGGTCTCTAGAGTAAGTTCCAAGACAGCCAGCCAGGGCTGTTACACAGAGAACTGCTGTCTCAAAAATATCAAAATAAATAAATAAATTTTAAAAATGAAAATAAACCTGTTCCTAGAAGCAAGTCCTTTCTCCAGAGACGGCTTTCTGGGGGTCAGGTACTAAAGAGAGAGAAGCAGGAGTCAGGAATGGGGAGAGACCTGAAAAACAGAAAGGAAAGTCCACAGCACATAGCAAAAGCGAGGAGATGGAGAGGAGGCGAAAGAGCAGCCCAGCAAAGAGCGTGTTGGCGTCGGATGCACCGGGAAATCAGTCCCGCATCAGGAACTTGGAAGAAGGCGTCGGCCTTGGTTTATTCACAGCTTACAGGGAACTCTTGGGAGTAGCACAGTTGTAGAAGACAAACAGGTTCCTCTTCTCAGACTGTCTTTTAATGACGTAAAGGCTCCTCAGCTCAGATCTGCACACACCTCGGTTTCTGTAACCCAGACATTTAAATGCTTTCGAGGCCCTGGGATTTAAACAAAGGCTTCTTATCAAATTCCTGGCTGGGGACAAGTGTACGAGAATAACAATACAATTAAGGACAGATCCACCCAAAGAGACTGAGATCCACACCCACAGGCACACACCTTAGCATTCACTGTGGTTTGCTTATCCGTCATCCATCTGTGACGTGATGACAGCGACCACTGACAACCCTTATCACCCGTGGGAGCACACTGTTCAGAACCCTTGCATCAGATCTCAGCCACCTTTTCAGCGTCCACACATAATTAATTAGTTAAATCAGTGACCGAGCAAACTGGGACTCGGAGAGTTGCTTTCCTGATAACTTCAGCTGGGAGAGAGAGGTCGCGACACTCAGTACTCAACATTTCTCCAAAAAAATTAGGCACATCTGCTCTCCCATTTCTGAGCTTCTGGCCCCTCCATTGTGTCTTCTCCGGTAGGAAGCACCTGGCACCATTCTGCTCTTGGGGTTTCCCTTCTGCAGTCTTTCCCGCTCCCAGTTGCCATGAGCTGACCTCACCTCCATCCTCCTAGGCAGCTTCTTCTGGAGGCAGTCGCTGCTGCAGGATTCTCACACAGTGTTCTTTACACGGTTCTTCCAGTACCAACCCACTTCTGTGGTGCAGGCACGCGACCCCAACCTTGCAATGAGGAACTAAAGACTGATGCTGGGTTAGATTAAGCTGCTCACCCGATTCCATGAAAGCAGAATTAATAGAGATCTTTTTCCTTCCCCCTTCTGTTTCTCCTCTCTCTCTCTCTCTCTCTCTCTCTCTCTCTCTCTCTCTCTCTCTCT